AAAAAAAAAAAAAAAAAAATAGCTAAACGTAGAAAAGGTACAGTAAAAATGTGGTGTTCTAATCCTATGGAACCACTGTCATATGAGCTATCGTTGATCAAAATGTCAATAGCCAGGCACGTCTGTATAAAATCCTATCATCTTATTTGGGTTATTATCATGGCTTAGATGCAAAGGGGGATGTAGTGAGCACATGGTGAGGATCATTCCTTTCACAGACCCACAAACATCTCGGTGAGGTGAAGTAACTTGCCCAATATCACACCAAGAGGCATGACTCTGGGCCTCGTGTTCCCCACCTCCCCCATCACCCAGGAGTTTAGTAGTAAGTCTGTGAAGCAAAACAAATTTCAAATGGAGACATCTTGGCTTTGTGTGGTACTCATGGTGGTGATATGGGAGAAACAGATTTATGTTGAGTTTGGATGAGAAAAAGTCAGAGGCATCTTGGTGGAAGCGACCATGGAAAAAAAGCAGACTAAACTGTTTTCTTACCAGCCCCTTAGATTTGCAAAGCATGACTAGTTTGGAAAAATATAAAAGAAAGGACAAAAAAATAAAAACAAACTAATGACCTCAAAACTTACTAGCAGGCCCCAACTTATAAACTAACAGTGTTTCCTACATTCAACATGTTTATGATTCCATGCAGTGTAAGCATGGTTTATAAGCCATGGTGTTAACAAAGGGCTGGGCTAGGTTTAAGAGGTTATATTCCAGATGTGTAAAGAGGCTTTTTGGCAAAACAACTTGCCATCTCAGAGAGCCCTTATATCTTCACTCTGAGGGTCTCAGAACACAAAAGAGAAGTCAGAGAACCTGCAGTTGCGGTCAGAGAACACATGCAATCACACTTTTATCTGTTAGGGCCCTTTCTGGAGTCTCATTAATTAAAGCTCTTAGTTTAGCGACCTAGGTTGTGAATATTTTTCCTTTCCTTTCTTGTCAGCACAGTGAAAAAAAATGCTAGTAGGCATGAGTAATACACTTGTAAGACCATGGAAACATTCTCTCTAACAGGCTTCTTGTCCACAACAAATTGTGAATTATGTTTCCATTTTCATCCACCCTGGACAATAAGTCTTTCATGTTCACATTTCTCTTGAAGAGGAGATTTGTGCTCTGATTCCACAATAAACATTTGAAAATCCTACTCAAAATACTGTATTTGCAATTTCTGTGAAACATTTTAAGATGGCTTCTAAGCATTTATAGAGGATTAAGTACACCGGTTGCCTCATTTCTATTTGTAGTAAGTCATGATGTTGGATTAAGGGAAATACTTTTGGTATATAACAAATACTGTTTAGTTATATTGGTGATGTGGGAAATGGAAAAGTAATTTTTAAAAGTAAGAAGGAAGCAAAAATGTTGTCCAAGGAAATAATCATGAAAGTTTTACTTACTTTTTCCTTGTATTAATACATTGCATAGGATGAATCACTACTAAAATTGATGAAATCTTAACATTGTTATAAATGAGAGGAATGGCATTTATAATATAAGGTAGAGTTCCCTAAATCTCAAACACACAGGGGCCTCCTCCACAACAACTCTAATCATGTCTACACTACATCTGAATTTATTATTTACTAAAGCGATTCACTTTTTTTTTTTTTTTTTTTCGAGATTCAGTTTTGCTCTATTGGCTAGGCTAGGCTGGAGTGCAATGGCTCAATCTCGGCTCGCTGCAATCTCCACCTCCTGGGTTCAAGTAATTCTCCTGCCTCAGCCTCTCAAGTAACTGGGATTACAGGCGCATGTCATCACACCTGACTAATTTTTGTGTTTTTAGTAGAGATGGGTTTTCACCATGTTGGCCAGGCTGTTCTCAAACTCCTGACCTCAAATGATCTGCTGGCCTCGGCCTCCCAAAGTGCTGGAATTACAGGCATGAGCCACCGCACCCAGCCAGCATTTCACCTAAAAAAAATTTTTTTTTCTAAACAAGAATAACTGTGAAATACCAGGCTTGGTTTGTTCATTATATTTTTTCTACTACATATGAGAAGAAAGGAGAGTTATTACCTAAAATCACTATGCATACTAATGATACATTTGACACACTTAAAAGGCAGAAAGTATTACCCTATTTGTTGAGATTGAAGTATGGGGTTTAACCTGGCTCTAGACGCAGGATTTTAGGCAAGTTTGTCACCTTTCTGGACCTCAGTTTCATTATTAAAAGAATTGAAATACCACCAAAAACTTGTTAGAACTAATAAATACAGTAAAGTCGCAAGATACAAAGTCAAAATATAAAAATCAGTAGCGTGTTCATACACTAACAACAACCTACCCACAAAAAAATAAAAAGAAAGAAATCCCGGC